CAAACGCTCGATCGGAGGGAGAGGTTTGAACTAATGAAGAACCAACAAAAATACAAGCTTAGAAAATGCAGAAATATAAAACTGAAAGGCGGCTAAAGCGAACGCGATGAACATAATAACCAGGAACTTACATTGTATCGGTGCTGTAAGCCGCGAAAAAGGCAACTCTAAACCAGATGTTCTCTTGGTGAAATCAACGATGAAACTAAAAAGCTAGAATATTAACAACGTAAATTATAACGAACGCGGGAAAGAAAAACAAAAGGTATTCCCGACGGAATGCTAATGAACAGCAATAAATGCAGAGAATGCTAAACTCTACAACAATTATTCATGCTCGTTATTAATGGTTGACTTAGAAGAACATTATATCGTTCTTGCAAAAGTCGTTAAATTCAGGTATCAATATATATTTTTTCTTAAACGCGTCCACTGCAGTGTAGAAATTTTAAATGGGTCGTTGATGTTTTAGCATTCCCTTCAATCTGGCATTACCTTGAGACAATAAACAAAACCAAGTAAACAAAAACAAAAAAGAAAGAAAAGAAACTTAAACAAGCAAACAACAACAGAGAAAAAAATTATCTTTGGATCAAAGTGTCGAGGAAATCCACTTTTGTTAAGATGATTTAGTTTGGTTTTATCAACTGAGTCGATAATGTAAATTGGTTATCGTGAAGATTTTTTAAAACTGACGGTTCCAACGTTAGCCATTCATTTCTTGCTCTCGCCCTTCTTCATTTCACGCAGGCGAAGGGCTGACGCTCGAAATTATCTAAATGATGACTTCGTTGCGAAATCAAGGCTTTTGTATTTTTGTGTAGAGCAAGTTCTATGGCTACATGCCAATTGCAATCTTACAGCAGTATAATTAGGGTAATGTTAAAAAAAAAATCGAAAGAAAAACAGTCCCAAATTCCAGTTGAACGAAGATCCAGAAAAGAGTTGTTGATTCCATGAAGACAGATCGAATCAGCCGTTTACTTCACTTTAGTTATAATATTAATTTCAATCTAAAGTCAGCTTCCTCTTATTTTGTTATAGCTGGGCGCTATGTGGCCAGGAAAATCTCAGCCGTGTTTTCCAAGTCTAGCGATAAAGCCCAGTCACAAGAAACTGTGAACGAATCAAGTTCTGAGCCTAAATAAATGAAGTTATCATCAGCGGCTGTCAGTGGTGAAACGGAAACATGGAAGGATTCTGCCGAATATTCCAATGGAAGTGCTTTTAGACATGTTAATGGAAAAGAAGTTATGACATAGAGATAATTTAACTAAGAGAAATAGACAAAGGACTCCTTTTTTTCTTTCCAAGGTGATGCTTCCATGTTTAGAACATTTTAAGCCAAAGCATGGCTCTGAAGAACATTTTGAGAAGTGAAACAAGCCTCCTACCTTATTTATTTACCTTCTTGTTAAATGTTTTGGATCAGTATCAGTATCTAGGCAACTGTGCACTAACCCCTCCTTAATAAACCAACAACGGTCAGCTGAGAGCAAATTTGGGTTAATGTTAGGTTAGGGGAGGGGTGGCTGTGCACTTGCTCAGATACTGAATGAGATACATGTACCTTATTCATGTTCGTACTTGTTCAATTTTTACTTTGTTCAATTTTTTTTGTTTTTGGGATCCATGTTATTATCAGAGTCACTTGTCTGCTTTTGTCTGTCTTGTTCTGCATTTATACCACTGATCAACATTTAAACTGGTGTTTGTGATAGTATTGCTACAAAGTGTATTGGTAGAGAAATGTAGCTTTACCTGATGTCTAGATTGCCCCAGTTTTAAAAGTTGATCGTTACTTTGTGAAGTTATGCATGAAACAAGCATTGTATACCATAGAGCTGCTGACTAAATGCTGACTATTATTGACCAAAGTATTGAAAATATCTGTAACACAGGGAGAAAATAAATAAAGTGGAACTGTAGAATAAACTATTGCAACATGTTTGTGCTGATTTTCTTGGCTCTGCATTGGCCTGGCAAATTTTCAAATTTGAGATTCGCTATAGTGGCAGTGGCTCTTTCTACAGTCTACTGGAGACAAGTGACCTTTTGGGTTTGTGGCTGGAAGTTTAAATGACAAGCCTATAAACAGACTGCCTGTTCCCTGCTTTATAATGAAGGGGGAGGGGTGGGTGGGAAAGAATGAAGAA